CAGCACTTATGGAAAGGACAAATGAGGTAGGTATTACTGGTCGCTTTGGAGCTTGCCGGCCTAGGTTCCTCAGCTAGGGAGCAGGAGGCTGTGAGACAAGTCCTGGGTGGACACTGTCCCTTCCACCCCCTGCCCAGGTCAGAGGGCCAGCCAGCAACCGTGACCAGGAGAGCCGTCACATGGATTAGTTCAAGTTGTCTAAGACCTTCCAGGAACCAGAAACAATGCAGCAAATCCCCCCCTTTTTTTTTCTGAACTTAAAAAATTACTTTTATTTTAGGAACCAATAAAATTATAGCAAATATTTACAAATAATTATCTCACATAAAGGTTACATAAAACCAATTCTTCACAAGTTAACAGTCACTCATGAAAAGACACACATATTGAAACTACGCCAATCTTATTGCATGTTTCTCCGACTAATCTAAAATAAAGGTGTTGCAGTCAACCGTTTAACTTAAAACAAAACCACAGATTCCAGGTTTGACAAGAAAAAGAAAAAGCCTTTAAAAATCAAACCAAAATCCCACCCCTGTCTTTGTTTCCCCAGATCCCACCCCTAGTCCCCTGCCCACCTCCCAACCAAAGAAAAAATATGTCCAACATCTTTGGCAAATTGGCACTGCTGTAATTACATTCAAATATGATCACACACAAAAGCAACACACAGCACTAAGAAAAAAAAAAAGACCACCAAAATTTCAAGTCAGTTCTTTTCTACTAGAAAAAAAGAATACAAAACATACACATTTTTAAGAAGCATTTTTGTTTCAATCTGTTGGAGACTGGTTATCTCCCACTTTTCAAAGGCAATTTAATTGTGTTTTTTTTTTGTGGGTTTTTTGTATTTTTTTTTTTTTTACAAGTAAGCTTCTATGCAGGCATCACAAACTTTGGCGGGTACAGTAGATATGTATTTCTTTGATGCTGGAAATTCAGTCCTTAAGACAACATCAACTGTGTCTCAAAGGATGAGAAGCAAAAATCCATGTGTTTTCCTGGCCAGGAGTTCCATATGCAATGTCACTTGCACGTCTACAAATACTCAACATCCAAAGGCCACTCGAGGGTGAAAGACCAGGGCAGCATCTTCTGGCGGGAGTCAAGGAGAAAAAGTCACCATTCTACCCTCAGCCACAAGCTGGGCCCAAGACATGAGCACTGGCCGGGCCAGACCCCGCTGCCCACCACCAGCCACTGCACTGGTGGGGGGAGCCAGGGAACGAGTCTGCCTCTTCTGGAGCCCCACGCCAGGCTGCTGCCAGGTCTGCTCACCTTCTGTGGCCAGAGGCAAGGGGAGTGGGCCAGGGCTGGCAGGATAAGACCCTGCACTCCTTTTCTTTCCCGTACATCTCAGGCATCCCGTACACTCACCTGTGCGGGCTGTGTGCACACGGGGGGTGGGCAGGGAGGGAGGAGGAAGGGGGAAGGCAGATTCTGGGGCTCTGAGTTTTCTAGGATGTGTAACACAGACTCAGGATTTATTTATTTTCTTTTTAGCTTGATAGCAATTAATTGGCTATTGATTAGTGGGAATGTTCAACTCTCTCGTCTCCTCAAATACAATAAAATAGTTTCATTAAAATGTATTCATGCTTGAAAATAAGGGCGCCATCAAATGGTTTCCTTTCTGTTCCACTCCAGGGGAAATGCATGGTTTGTAAATCAAAAGTCCATCACCCAATTCGCTCAGTCTTAATGGTGCTTTTGCAGCAGCTGAGGGACGTGGCCATGAGCAAGGCAACATGACCTGGCATGAGGAGGGGTGGCCAGCAGCCACTGCCACAAAGACCAGAGGGGTCAGGGTTAGGGCAGGGGAGGCTGCAGTGTGGCCTTTCCCATGGGGGGCCCGGCAGTCAGGGGATGGGGCTCAGAACTGCCAAGCCCCTAGTCGATCCTCTTCAACCAGGCCCAGAGTTGTCCAAAGCTGGAAGGGGAGTGCCTATCCACTGCCTCTTCTATTACTCACCAAGTACACTGCCTGAGGCCCTGTCCCTTTCAGAACTCACTGAGATCCCCTCACAAAACAGATCCGCAGCTGCACATTCTCTCCTAGGGCTGCTTGGGGAAGTGGCAAGACATGCATGCAGTCAGGTTCAGACCAACCCGGACACAGGCTACACAGGACCCTCTGGCTTGAGGTCCTGAGTTGGCAGTGACATTGGAGGTCCTGAGGTCCCCTGTTCTCCAGGAATGGGGCACGAGCACTGAGGAACCACCAGACAATGAAAGTAAGCCTGGGTACCCTGCTCCCCAACCAGGCAAGAGACATTCCCCAGCAGGCCTCTGCCGCAGCCCCTGGGGACCTGGTTGACAGTTGGGGCAAGGGTATAGATCCACACTGTGGCTCCCCCATGAAGATGCTAGAAGGAATCCTGAATTTGGGGATCCCTGGGACTTTCAGGAGGTGGGGCAGACCATGTGCCCGGCTGTCCAATTTTTCCAATCATTTTGCCACCTTGTAAGAAATGTACTTGCCTCAAACCTCTCTGAGGTCAAAAGAACAAAAGGAATCAATTCAACCAGGAATTCTGGTGTTCATGCCTGGAAGCCATCAGAAGCGAGCTCCAAATGGATGACAAGGCCAAGGTTGCAGAGCCAGCTAGCCAAATCACCAGGGAGCTGGTCGGGCCCACCTCTCCAGCCTGGGCCTGATCTATCCTAGGGGCTTTAAGCCTTCTCTACCCTCCTGGGACTGTGTCTCAAACATGGCTTGTTGCCAGCAGTCTGCTGGGAGGGCTTAGTTTACAAGTTGCTCCCCATAGCTTGGAGCCTCCAGAGAGCTGGGGTGGCTGGAGCCACTGGCTGCTAAAGGCAGCACGGTCATTCTGGGGTCTGCCTCTCATCAAGGGCTTCCCCCACTGTCTGGAACCCTGTGGCCACATCCAAGGACTGTTTCCTCTCTGGGAAAGGGTCCCTGCAGCACTGACCTCCCCTTCAAGGGCAACAGTTGTCCAGTTTCCACTGCTGGATCTGCCCTGCCTGAAGATTCTTGCTGTGGGGCCAGAGCCCAGGCAGGACCTAAGAAGGGGTAAGAGATATTTCAGCCCATTTCTGCCACACCCTGAAACAATCTGGGATCCCACTTCCCCCCTGACCTGTGATGCGGGACAAGAGAGATGAGGAAGCAACAGGGAACTGGACAAAGCTGGTGGAAAGTAGGTTGACTTAGCTTTCTTTCAGCCACCCTTCCACACTTGAGGGCCCTTCCATGTTGCAAACACCCTCCTGGCTGTCTCGGCCCCAGCATGCCACATGATTGTGTGCCCTCCCTGGCAGGATGAAGCTATGCCACCTGACCAGCCCAGACATGGCCATTTCCACATCTGCCCACATCTGGCTTGGTGTCTTCCTAAGTGGGAAAAACGAGCAAAGGAGGGTACAGCTCCAGCTCCAGGCCCCCTGGGCCCCCTGGCTGACCGAGAGGGAGTCCATGTCCAGGTTTCGAGCCCAGAGACACCACTGGGCAGCAGTTTGGACAAAAACACCTCAGCAGCATGGCAGAGCTTGAGCAAGGACACTGCCAGGCTCAGCGTTACTAGGACTCACACTGGAATGTCAAAGAAAGTCACCAACCCTGGTCCCCAACAAGCCTCTGGTCTCTTGCTCCTCGTGTTGTGGGCTTGGGGTGGGGGATGATGTATGGTACCCCCAAACTCAGTGGAGAGAGAACAGGGCTCGGAGATCTGAGAACTCACTTCCGTTTTTACCACATGAGCCCCAAAGATCAGCTTCCCCCATCTGGAAAATGAACACCCTTTTGGCCCCATTGGGTGGTTGGTGTTGGAGAAGGGTGGCTAAGCACTATACCATGTCAGTGATGAACACGCTACTCCTAACTAGGGCACTTGGGAAAGGGATGTCGGGTTTGATATGTCACCAGAATTTTCTGGGTTGGGCCAGAGAAAAAACACAAACTCTACAATGCCCTTTTCAAACAGGTCAGAGCTAGGACATGGCTGAAGGCCCATGGGGCCGTGACCGCCCGGTGCAGGCTGCCTGCGGTGATGCACGTGAAGGCCCCAGGCTTGTGTTTTCCATTGTAAATTCTCTGGAATCCAGTTGGCAGCCTTTGGAGCTCTCCTCCCCAGTCCCCAGGAGGGCCCGCGTGGAGGGGCCGAGCTGGTGAGAGTGGGTGTGTGGGAGACAGGAGATCCATGAGCATCCTGTGTGTTTGTGCTTCTGCTGGCGGTCTGGGCACTGAGTGCTTGCCTACCTAATACAAGTTTCATCTGAGGACCAACAAAGCCTCAGAGGATGGCAGCAAGGGCCAGAAGGAAATGGGAGAGGCAAAGGCCAAGTGGATTCGGTGAGGAAGGATGGGAGGAGGCCCAAAAGGCTAGGGCTGTAGACCTCAACACGGCTGCTTCCTACCAGGGGGAGGAGCCAGGCAGCATACCTTCTCCTCCCTTCCCTGGCAGATGGAGGCTGCAGCCAGTTCTGGCTGTATGGGAACTCCACCTTGCCGGGACCTTGTCTCCCCCAGAGGGAGCTAGGGTAAGTCTTTGCCAAGACTTTTCTGATTTCCTGCACCTCTGTATGTCATTTCCCTCTTTGCAGACTCGGCACCTAACCCTGCAATGGCCCAGAAGTGCAGAGTCCACTCCAGGCAACTTCATCACAAGATGGGGAGAGAGTGGCCAGGGCCCCCTGCTCCACCCAGGCAGCTGAGACCCCACAGCTACACACAGAGGTGAGGCTGAGATGTCCAGGATGGACTCTGTCCTCTGTCTCTCTGCCACACTTCTCCATCCACCTAGTCACATGCAAACATGGGACAAATTGCCACAGGGGAAGTCAAGGCTGCACTGCAGTCCAGGTTTGCAGGGACACGTAGCCAGGCTGTTCTGAGTTGGTGAGAGAGAGACTGCAGGAAATAGGAGTCCCTTGGAGAAAACACAATGGTACCTGGCACCCCCACTCCGGGTCTCCACCCTGTGTGCTGCCATCCCCACTGCCCCACCCAAGAGGCTTCCTCCCTTCCCCAAGTTTCCCCCAATGGCTTCCTTTGACCTCCCACCCCCACACTCAGCCACGACCCTGACCACCGTGGCTCCTAGGATCAGTAAGTTACGTGAAATGAGCTATCTGCCCTGACCCCAGCACCTCTGCACGCAGGCACACGCTGAGCTCAGAAGTGCTTGCTGACAGCAGTAGCTGCTTGTGGTCCTTGGTACAGGGGAATGTCCTGGCTAGCCATTGCCTGTGCTGCGTGGTTCAGGCTTGCCCAAAAGTCACTTGCTGGGGTCCTAGAGGGTGGGTGGCACGTCCACAGTGGTGTCCAAAGGGAGCTGAGTCTGGACATGCCTCAGTCCAGTTCGGCGGCTCTCGGGGAGTCGGGAACACCTTGGGTCCACCTTGGCCTGACATTCCAAGTCCCCATGCCACTTGCACTTGGCTGTTGCCACCTCACTCTTGCTCAGCTGCCGAGGATGCTCCCAGACAGGTTCCTGGAGTCCTGTGCTCTGGAAAGGAGCCACTCAAGTCGTGCTGGGACCACGGAGAGGTGGAGGCAGAAGGCAGGGCCTCTCTCCAAAGTGCAGTCACCTTGCGGAGGGGCCTCAGGATCGAGGGGAGGCCAAGCCAGCCCAAGGAGTCAGGGCCTTAGGGAAAGAGGAAGAAGCAGGAGGTTGGGACAGAGGTGGGCAGCAACAGTCTCAGGGCCAGCTCCAGGTCCCACCAGACCAGGGCAGCCAAGGCAGACGGGCTGCTTTGTGCACAGGCTCAAGGTGTCCTGGGTTCAGGATGCAGTCGTGGGCTGGCCAGTTGCTTGGTCCCTGGGCCTGCAGCACAGTAAGTGGGTATTTACACAGGGGCTGGTGAAGCAGCAGCAACAGCAGGTTGTCTGCCTGCCCAGACCCAGGGCTCCACAGGGAAGGACGGACAGACAGCGAGACAGCAGGGGAAGGGGGCAGGGCTGTGGGTGTCTCTAGAACAGTTTGGTGGTTGGCTGAGCCCCAGTCACCATTGGGAGAAGATTGCGAAAGCAGACGAGTGTCCTGAAGTCCAGGGACCTGGGAGTCCCTAGGGGGGGAAGGGAAGGGTGGGGTCTTCAGGCGAGGGGGTTGTTGGAGGACCGTCTTGTGTGGCCCCTCTGGCTGTCAGGGGTGGGAGCTGGGAGGTTCTGGCCCGCAGTGAGATGTGTCAGAAGTGCTTGGTGCCCCCCGGGCTCCGAGGGTCAGTGGCGATCATAGGCAGTGGCGGCCGTAGGCGGGGCAGCTCCTCGGGCGGCCGCGCTGTAATAGTATGGGGAGCCTGGAGGAAGCAAAAGAGAGGCTGCTGAGACGGCGCCCAAGGTCTTCAGTCTACTGCCTCCTTCTTTGTCCTGCTGCTGCATCAGTCCCAGCCACCCTCCTGTAACACCCAACCTGCTCTCCTCGCCACCCAGAGATGCCCAGCTCTGGGGGAGAGACGAATTCCTCTAAGTAGACAGCAGCTAGGGCGCTGTCAGTGGATCCTAGGCCATGTGACTGCTGGGGGACCACAGGAGTGTTGTTGGGAGGGCATTATGACACAATGTGACAGCACCGCAGGGGCAGTCACTTTGCTTAATGTTCACCACCACCCTCTCAAGTAGAACCACAGCTGTACCAGTTACACAGATCAGAAAAATGAGGCCCAGAGAGGTGAGGACTCTGCCCAAGGCCACACAGCTGAGGGAGGTGGAGCAGAGGGAGATATAGAGTGGGGAGGCATCAAGTAGAGTAGGTGGGCATTGGCAGTGTCAGTCCCGTGTCCTGATGCTTGGGACCGTCCCTGCGGGCCAGGACACAAGAGCAGGAAAATCACAGGGGCTACCCCCACCAAAAGGGCCCACCCAAAAGGGCAAGAAATGAAAGCAGGAGCTCCCTAGAAGGCTGGCCACAGCCTGGCCTCAGATCCTCCTCATGTCCCGCCCAGGGCCATACTGCCCAGTGGTCTCGGTGGGGTGGGTACCATGGGGGGGCGAGCAGGGGGATCAGTGTGAAGGCTTACATTCACTGAGAAAAATGGAAACGCCACTTTTCAAAGCACCCAGTCTTCCGGGACCCATTAGGCTCTTAGGTGCAATGAACCTGTCCTTTCTTGTGTCGTTTCGCCTCTCTATTGCACATGATCATCCACTGACCACTGGACACAGTCATTCCCGCTTGCCCTCTCTAATCCCCTTTCGGCTTCCATTCTAATCCTAATTGACTTTCTTCCCACTGGCTGGTTGGTCAGGCCGGGTCAACCTGGGGGAAGACTCTGACGGTATAGGGCTGGATGCAGCAGAGTCACGGCTGCCCCTGGCTGGGCTCACTGTGGGGAGGGCTGCGCTGAGTGTGACAAGGAGCCCTCGGCCTTCATGGTGGCCATTGTTGAACCTCGTTTTGACCGTGTTTCTGCCGAACCACGGCTGAACACGTGGTTCAGCTTCAGCCAGGCCAGCTGATGTGCTAGCGACAAGAACACGAGTGTGTCTGTGTGTGCAGCAGGGCCCCCCACCCTGCACCCTTGGTTCCTGTGGATGGGCAGGAGCACTGAGCAGCCCCAGGATAGGTCTCCATATCCATGCACCGACCCTCAGAGAAAGCAGAAATGACCAGGCTAGGTGCCCCTGGGCTAAATCCCTTGGGACTCTGCTGACCCAGATCCTGAAGGTGCCGTGGGCACAGATAGGCTGGTGGTTGTAATCTGGCCTACAGCTCTCTGCAAGGCTGTGGTGGGCACATGCCTCACTCTTCTGCAGGCAAGCTGGGTCCCTGCTCACCAGGAGGGAGCAGGCTCTGGCATGAATACAGCTGCATGGGAGCTGCTCTCAGGGTAGCCCTGGGATGACCAAAGGCCTGCTGGAACTTCCCAGCTCGCAGACCTGGATAGCTCGCAGGGCTCACCTGTGCTTGTAAGCTGCTCCACAGCGTGGAAGCACTTTCTGCAGCTGCAGAGCCACCCATAATGTTGGCCCACTGGGAGCTGGCAGTCAGAACGCATCCTCCCAGCTTCCCTTGCTGCTAGGGCTCTGCACCATGTGACTTTGAGTGGGAAGGGAAGAATGTGAGGCAGAGGCTGCAGGCTGCAGGGGCAAGGAGCTGAAGGTCATTGCTGACCCACAGGACACTGTGTGCACGGCCTTGTGCTGTTTGTGAGCTGGGCTTCAGCCCCCCACCTGTTACCTCTGGGCACTGCGCAGTCAAACGCTATGCCCCAGGGCCAATGCAGCCACCTCAGGGTCACGTGACTCTCAGAAGGATGCACTCCTGTAGGCTGCTACTCTGTGCATCCCTAGTGCTATGTCCCAGCAGCACTGGCACCCTCATGGCATCCCTCATGGCACCAGGCGTGCTCACTTGTACCTGAGACCCATGTCGAGGGAGGAACTCGCAGGCTCAGGCCCCAAGTCGCCTGCCTTGCCCCACTGTCCTGGCTGCAAGACCTTGGTCTGGGAGGAGTTTGAATGGGTTGGCCCTGATTGCTGGTTCCTGGGCCTGACATCTGGGCCAACTCAATGAGGTCGCTTATGGAAAAACATCAGGGACATGGGACTCTGTGCCTCAATACTCAGAAATGATTTTGATGAGAGCAGAAATCCAGTCTGAGAAGATGTTGACTCTGCAGCTTCGGGTAATCTAGGCCCACCTGTCGGGGGCAGAGGTCACCATCTCCCTCACACGGGGCCCCACAGCACTAACTGGCATTGTTCCCAATTTCATCCACAAGTTTTATGCACCATACACCAATCAGCATTGGGCAGCGCTGGATCCCAAGTGCACGGAGTCAACGATAGCCAGACAGGAAATGTTTGTGCCCAGGTGTCCGGCTTAACCCCTAGCCATGGCTGGGACAGGGTTGGGGGAAGGAGGGCTGGGAGGAGCGGGGCTGAGGCTGGGTACCCTGAGTTAGAAGATGCCAGGTGATTGCTTTTCTGATAAAGTCTGTATTTTTTCAGTCCTGAAATAATGAAGGACCCAGGGAATTAGCAGGCTCTCACTTAAGGAAGCCTTGTTACGCTGGACAGGAAAGCCTGGGTGGCCTCCCAGGACCCTTCCGCCATTGACTACTTCAAGTGGAAGCTGCCAACAGGGTGGGAGGGTGGGGGGTGGAATGGGTGGTGCCCATGGGCTGGCTTCACCCTCCAGGCAGTGAATGACATCGGTGAACCCAGGATCCCTGTTCCAATGTTCTAGAATGCCCAGCCCCATCTGGCATTCCATCTCTTGTTTCATGTGAGTATATTTCAACAAAACCAAAGGCTTTTCTGGGTCTTGTGAGAGTTGACTTAGCCCTGCCTGGTCTTTGGGATAGGCAGAATATGTTGACATTCACAGATGCAGTTGGTTGGCACCTGTCATAGATAGCCCATCAATCTGAGGTTGGAGCAGATGCTGGGCAACAGTTGAGCATTGAGTGGCATCCATGACAGGCCTCTGAACAACCACTAAGTTGGTCCCAGTAATGTCCATGGCAGACATCACTAATCAATCACACAGCCTGAGTTCTCTCCAGGCAGCCACTACCAATTCATCCAAACGGGCATCTTTTCTGCCTCTTTCAGAGTTCCCACCTGAATAAGGACTGATTTCACACTCGGGCAGACGCTTGTACCCACGTGCCCCTGTTCCTCCTGATACCCTTTGCTATTTCTGTTTCCCTCTGTCATTGCCTCTGATCCACGAGACACCGGGGCAGACACACACTGCCTCCCCCCACAAAAGATCCCCCATTTCCATGTGTCAGGGACAAATGCCCCTCACTACCCTTCCCCAGGAACCAGACCCCAGGACGCCCAGGGAACCAGCTGGTGAGAAGGCATGTGTGGGCAGCTGTCAGCCCAGGGGCCCCTTGGCACTACTGCCAGTACTTACCAAGCAGTCCCGGGTTGGGGAACCTCCAGGAGTCGTTGTATGAGGAGTACTGAGGGTGGCTGTAGGGGCTCCCAGAAAACTCACTCCCTGCAGGGCCAGGGCAAGAGAGAGAAAGAGACTGAACGTTAAATCCACCCCCTTTCAGAAAGCCCCAAGTCCCAGCAGCCTGAGTTGCAGGCAGCACTGGTCTCCCCCATTGAGCCTCGGGGACCTGTGGACAGCAGGTTGGGTTCACGTCCTTCATCAAGCAGGGGCTGTCACTGGCTCTGCCAACGTTTCCCCACCAAAACCCTGTATATCATATTCATACCCTGGTGCCCCCATGCACAAGGGGTCCTCTGGGGGGTGTTGGCCCATATCACAGGTGAGAAAACTGACGCTCAGGCTCTCTCACAAAGTGGGCCTTAACACACACAGCCAAGCCCAAAGATGCAGGTGCTCTCCAGTGGCTCTGACCAGAGAAGCCAGGGTGGGCTCAGCTCCAGTGTTGCCCTGTGCATTGTGAATCCAGCAGGGTAAGGATATGAGCTATACAACCAGGCGGTCTTCCTGGAAGGGGAAGGTGGCACTGGGTTGACATGAAGGGACACAAGCCATGGGGTGGGACACAAATGAGGGAATGGACCGAGGTCTTCTGGGGAGTTGGGGAAGGGGCTGGTATGAGAGACCTTGTACATGCTCAGGCAGGAACCATGAAGGCTGCCAGAGGTAGGGTCATTCCTTGTGGTCTGGTCATTCTGAGTGGGGCTGCCTGCCCCTGGCACCTCCTGGACACTCCCTGCAGCCCCAGCAGGGCCCCTTCCTCACCAGCCGGGATGGAAGAGCATGTCTTTCACTGCTTTGCTGTCCTGGACCTGCAGTAGGTGTGGCCTGGCCTGTCTGTCCCCACTGCCCTCTCACCACCACTCCAGTGGCTGGCAGCTTCCTCGCAGAGGCCAGGCTCAGGTCCTGCCTCCAGGCTGCGTCCCCAGTGCCCATCAGCAATATGTACACAGAGGCCTGGGAGCCAGGCACGCAAGACTGACCACTCAGGGGTCTGGAGCACCTGCACCCTCCCCACCCTGGGAGGGGACATCCCTGGGAGGGGCCCCCTGAGGTCCCAGACAGGCCTCCACTGCTCCCCATAGGCCCTCCATAGCATCTTCTGGGCTCTTCCAGCAGGAAGGCAGCCAGAACCAGCGGCATCCCCAACAATGCTCTCTCTCTAGTGGCAAAAATGCCCAGAGAATGGACCACAAAGCTAGGTTGGGCATGGCCAGCTGGGGGTAGGAACAATGAGGCTGGACCTGCTCCTACTCTCGGCTCTGCCAGCATCCTCCCACCTCCACAAGCAACCGTGGGCCAGTGGAGTGCGCACACACACACACACACACACACACACACACACACACACACACACGCCGTTCTTCTCGGGCCTCTCTGGGGGCCACTCCCAGCCTGACAGGCTGAGCCTTCCAATTCTCTGTTTTTTATGCCTCAGTGGTCAGGGTGTCAGGCTCTGGCGTACAGAGGGAGCGCAGTGACAGTGCAGCCCCGTGGCAGCCCAGCCTCTGCATATCCATCAGCACTGCACACCTCCTCCAGGGCAGGGTGGGGGCAGCCTGGAGAGAGGGGACAGCCTCCCACCCACCCTCCCTCCTGTGCGGTGGGTGCTGTGGGCCGCCCCGTCAGAGGCACTTCCTGACAGCGCTGGGCTGGGGCTCTGGGCTAGCGTAGCAACGGCCAACCCCATGGCTCCTTCTGGTGATATTGCTGCTGCTGCTGCTGCTGCCAGGCCAGGCCAGGCCAGGTGCTAAGGCCTCCTCTTTCGGAAAGGCCCCTTGGTCTGCAACACCCACTTCCTCTAACAAGTGCAAGTCTTAGGTCCATCTTGCTGGAGGTAAGTAGTCAGACAGCTGTGCACACATCCTCCACGCCCAGACCGGCACTGGCTGCCGCAAGCTCCCGCTGCTTTCTCAGGAGAGCGAATCTAAGTCAGGCTGCCCGTCATCCTCAACTCTGCCCCCCAGCCTTACAGCACCAAGATCTCAGATGCCCCCCTTCTATGGGAAGCCCTCCATCCTGCACCTGCCCCACAGCACCAGACTGGTCAGATGCCACCTCTACCCACCAGCTGAAGATCTGTTCCCCAACAGACAGTGGCGCCCCCTGGCTGCCCCTGCACCACAATGCAACCCCTCCCCACCTCCACCACCTAGCAGTCCACCTGGTTTTCACCCTCTTAGCGGCTCAGCCCTTCTCTACATCACCTGCTCTGGGATCCCCTTCCAGACCATCACGTTTTACAAGCCCTTCCACCACCACCTCCCTCGCTCTGGTTTTCGTCGCCTTCCAAAGAGCTGAGCACACGCGAGCCTCCCTCTCCTTAGTTCTCTGCCTCTCTCACTCCAGGCACGAGCTCATGTCTCTTTCCCAATCTCCTGGCATCTAGTAGGCACAGATAGCTACTCCCTGAAAGAATAAGTTAATGAATGATGGGGAATGCTTCCAGCGCATACTACTCCAGCCTGGTGAAGGCCAGTACTCCTAGCGTTAGTACCCACTGCCGGGTATACTGAGCACATGGCCAGAGCTGGGCTGGGATGAAGCCAGAAGAACTCAACCCAGGTCTCCCATGTGGGTGGCAGGAGCCCAATCGCCCGAGCCAGCTCTGCTGCCACCAGGAAGCTGGAGTCAGCAGCCAGGCCCTGGTATCAGACCCAGACATCCTGATAAGGTATGGAGGTGTCTGAACCACTAGATTCAGCAGCTGCTCCATATGCGTTTCCCTTGGTGCAATACATTTTGCACTCCAGGCACAGTGCTTTTGCCACTTGTGTGGCCCATAAACTTTCTGAAGTCCCCTGTAAGAGCAGGAAATCTCCCCAAGGCTCAACCTGGGTGCCAGCTCAGGCCAAGGCAGCTGCCACTCAGGGAGCTCCCCGACCTGACATGTTTCTCAATGCCAGCCTGTGGCACTCAGGGCATTGGGTGGATGTCATCCTCAAAGAGCACTTTCACCAAACACCTGCTGTAAACACTTCCACCCTCGGCTCTGCCAGCATCCTCCCACCTCCACAAGCAGCCCCGGGCAGAGTGCACATATCTGGAGCAAGCAGGCTTGAAAGAAGGCACGGCTGGGGCTGGAGCCTGCAGAGGCCAGGCCAGGATGGGGGTGGGGCACACCATGCAGTCCTATGGGGACAAGAGCAGGTGCCCGGGCATGGGCATTCCTGGGGTAATCCTGAGCAGCACGTGCCTAGGTTCTCTCTGCAGAGACCCCTCAACATGGGCACAGGGCAGCTCCATCATAGGGTGAGTGGGGGATCTACAAACTCCTGGAAGAACAAAGTCACCCTCACCCCATGCCACGGGCCCTGGGACGTCAGGAAGATAGGGGAGGATGGATGGTGCCTTCCCGAAGGAGTGGATCTGGCCCTGAGAGTCATTTTATAGTTTGTGCTGAGTTCTTGCAGGAAGGGAAGCCCAGGGTTTGGTTTAGGGTAGGGTGGAGAGGGTTACAGTGCTGTGTGCCAGAAAATGGAAGGGGATTGTGGGGTTGCTTAAAGTGAGGAAGGGAGAGAGAGAAGATGCAAATGGCTCATGGCTGGTTGGTGTGTGTGAAAAGAGCATGTATGCAGCCTCATGCCACATGGGCCTCCTTGGGGGCTGGTGCTGCCTTCCTTTGCCCATGCACCTCGTGGGGCTAGCACAGCTTCCGAGCACCCTGGATCCTGCCTGAGCCACCAGGATGCGTGGGAGCCGTGGGAGGGGGAGCCAATGGCTAGCAGGTGGCAGACACCCCACCGAGGGCTCTGCAGTGTTCCACTGCTTGGCACAGGCAGGTGTCACTGCACCTGAGTTTGGTTTCTGGACACTGGGAGATGCTAGCCAGCTGTGGGCGTTAGCTGAACAAGGTAAAGGGCAGGCATGGGCAGAGGTCAGTGAATGAAGAAGGACAGGTGGGTAGTCTGGAGAGAGGGGTACCAGGGCACACAGGACTAGGTCCCCAGTCCTCGGCTGTAACCAGCAGGACTGAGCGCACAGGTCCTGGCCAGTCACACCCATGGCGTGCCCCTCCCTCCCCTCTGGCCCAGAGCTCCCTATCCCTGTAAGGAAGACAGAACAGAGCCAGGCTCTGCTGCCTGCAGGCTGTATGGTGGGCAGTCACCTCAGTCTCCTCATCTGGAAAATGGGTGAGCTTGAGTATGTGGAGAAAAATGAAAGATATTACCAATTATGACTGATCACTTCTGCCCCTGTGTGGTTTGGCAATAAATCTTCATTGATTCTAGAGAAACCTAAACTCAGAAACTGCTCGCCCCAAGCCCTCAGGCCCCAGATCCTCCTTCCTTAGATCCTGGTGTAGCAAGAAGAAAGAGAAAGAACATGGGGTTGCAGAAATGTCAGAGCCAGAAGCAACCTCACAGCCCATGACATGCAACTCCGTTTACAGACTGGGAAATGGCCACTGAGAAGGGAGGCAGGTGGCAGAGGAGAGGCTCCTGGAGTCTCCCGGAGACCGGAGGTGGGGAGACTGAGAGGCAGGACTGGCGGGATGGGGGCCTTGGAGAGCAAAAGAGGAGGAAGAGTGAGGTCCAAGGAACCAGGCTCCTCATGGGGCACCTGAAGGACTGCTGACCGCTACCCTCAAGCCTGACCAACCCTCAGTCTCTCTCCCTTCCCTGAGCTGGCGGGACCTAGAGCCGTGGCTCCCACCCTCGGCATGCAGATTGAGCCGGGGGTGAGCCACACCCTTCTGAGCTCCCTTCAGCAGTGTCAGGACTGGGATGAAAACAGAGCATTACCATCCCTCGCATCTCCCTGGTCCAGGGCCATGGGGCAGGTGGGGACAGAGCCTGGCTTCTGCCCATGCCAAGGGACAGCTCATTAGCAGCACACAGAGCCTGGAGCACATTCACGGTGAGCACAAGGGACCCGCTGCCTTCCACGCTAGCATGGTCCATGCTTGCTGGCAGTGGCCTTGGCATCCCTGGTTTGGTCTCCTCACAAGTACCAGCACATTCTCCTCCCAGTACCTGGGCCTGTGTGGCACCCACTGAAGTCCACTGTGTGTGTTCACAAGCCTTTTTTCCTTGGTTGGCAAA